AGACTCAGACCTTTCCAACAATACGTGTTTTGTCAAGATTAGGAAAAGTTTTGATTATAAAATATTGTAGTAAATTTTGTAATATGATGCTAGGCACCGCCTACTAGGGGGAGGAGCCTGCTAAGAGGTTTTAAAGTAGCTAACAGAATGCTGACAGTTAAAAGGTTAAGACTGAGTAGCCTCACCTTCTGAAAGGCACACTGGTTTAAGGCTTGGTTTCCAGCCTACCGATCCATTATGGAAGCGCGTGCAGATAATCTTGGCTGGCCCCTTTAAACTATATCCATCCACACAAGAGAACCTGGCCACTGAGTTTTCAAAGAACAAACTGCTGCTTGGAGTTCTGATTCCGTGCTCAGGAACACCAGGATCCTTGCAGAACGGCTCCACTGAAAGTGCACAGGAAAGAACCAAATTATGCATTTAAAGCAAAGATGACATCTTATGATTGCGCCAATATCAGTGTTTGATCTCGATATCTGTAACAATTCAGTAACTTAACATGCATTATGATCACAACATAATAATCCAATCCATAATCAAGATGGAAATGTGTTCTTTCTTTCTTCTAATTGTTACCTTTTCTTAAAACTGTTTTCTTATTATCCTTTCTATTTTTACATATGGTCTTGCAACTACTATCACCTCAGGATGGCGGTGAGCGCATGACAGTGATGTCACCACGTAGCTCATTTCTGTTGGGGGAAACTGTTACAACTCAGCCCATGTTACAACACTCCCTCAACAGTCTCTCAACAATCACACTCAATATAGCATTTTCATTCTACGTGAGAAAACACTTTTCTGCTGAGATGTTCGTTTTACTCACTGTTACATAAATGTCACCTTCATAAAATGCTGTTATAGCCAGGAGGAGTTTAGGCCCTAGATGATGTCTGCAATTTTATGAGTGTGGTTCTTGCTTGTTGTGAATGTTCTGCTCAGTCATGAGTCATGACCAAATGTTATTCCATATACAACATGCAGCTGTAAAGCAGCATCGTCATGTCATGGAGAAACTGATGCTGCATAACAGAACAGAACCTTTAATGAAGATGATGGGCCAGGTTCTTCCGTTTCTTTTATTTCAGCGTGTCCCGTTACACAGGCAACCACAAAGGAAGTCCCGCATATTCCTATAAATGATATAATTGCAGTTTTTATGCAGATCTCTTACCTACTGTGTTAACCGGGAAGGCGGTGACCCGAAAAGGAGGGAGGAGGAGGAGGATAATCGAGAGAACAATCTGGCCGTAGACAGGATGTCCAAACGCAGATTTCTTGCCTTCTTTATCACCATGATGAAACATCTTTCACTGAATAAAATTCATCGGGTCACAAATGCTCTGAAATTATGATGACAACGACAAAAAGCTAGGTAAAACGTGAAAATATTACATCTATTGGGATTGCATCATGGATTTTCAGCCCTGCAGAATCTCC